GGTAGGAGGAGGGAGCACTTGTATTAGAGCAGCTCTTGGGAACTGCTCTAATTGAAACATCTGTGGCATCTTGTGTATTCAGCACCCTCCTTCAAAACGGCGGAGGAGGTGGTGCTTTAACTAAAGATCATTTGATGAGTTTTTGTTAAAGCGCTCCGCTGCCATTTTGAAGTGCAGAGATGCTGAATACATGAGACACTGAGGCTAATTAGCACACACCGACACAGAGCAGATGTCCCACACGTCTACAGGCACCCAAGGGACAGGAACAGAAGAAACAGCTGCAATAATGAAATGTTAAATGGCAAAAGAATATCAATAAAGTAGCTTATTGTATAAACAAAAAGAAAAAGAGTTAAAAAAGGAATGAGGCACAACTACCCCAAGCAATAACAGATCAGCATGATTTCTAAGGTGGCTGAATAAACACAAATCACTTTAGACAGGAAAAAGATAAAGAAGTTACACTGTAAACAACTCAAGAGAAAGAAAGTGAAAGTGCCACAAGGATGAGTATTTGGACTATTTTCTAGTTACACATTTATTTGCATTGCAACAACCTTGATATAAATTTTTGTAAGGTAAAATCTCCTGATAATACAAAATATATATTGGATTAGGACAATAAGATTGAAACCTAATGATTTAGATAGAGTTGGGAAATGGGCAGATAAGGGCCATGCTGAACAAAAGTTAGAGGAAATTATTCCAGCAGTTCACAAAAGGATGGCTTGGCTGTGGTCAACTGCTATATATTTTGTTCAAGTTTTGTAGCCTTAATATTCAAAGATTATTATAGATGGAGATGGTATGGCAGAAGACAACCAGAATTTATTTAGGGACTCTGGGGACCTGAATATAAACAGGTTTGATAAACCAGTCCCACATTCTGGCTATCACAAAATTCTGAAGACTGAAAAAGCCTGGTGCTATAAGAAAATACAGATTCTTGAAAAATGAAGAAACCCTAGGAAATTAAATAAAGCAAAGGAAAAACCTAATCCCAGAAAATTCTGGGGACAAACTTTATTCAGTGGGACCTACACATGAAATGTAAATGGCCAAACTCCAATAACAATGCATCTCGCACATGAATGCAAGAGCATGACTGGGACCATGCAAAATGAAACAATTCCAACCGATTTCATCTTCTATGATAGTTGCAAATGTACCCAATGTTTTATCATACTAAACCATTCATAAATAACTGCATCTGTCTATGTAACTGTATCCTCCTTGTTGACGCATCCTCCCTTGATTAAGACATATTTCTTGGAACAGTCATTCAATGTCTGTTTGGTTTTTGCAAATGTCTCCATCGACTATCACCGGTTCAGAATATTTTGGGTTCTGCCCCACTATTAAAACAACTACCCAAAACTGTGTCCTGTGATCAGAGCCTCCAAGGTATGCCATTCAGTCAGTCAACACCCATCCCATTTGATTGAAGTGTAACTTCTGGACTGATCAAAAACTTGCAAAAACAAGTTTCACAACTGGATGACCCAACACAGGATTCAAGCAACTATCAATTGTAACACGATGGTGCCTCCCTGCCTGTTTTGTTAGAACTTTAATAGGCTGGCTATCAAGGAGGAATGCTTTGAAGCTATACAATGCTTTGGGCTAGGGATAGACATTCAAAAAGCCTGAGCCTAAACTGATTCAATCTTTGTGGGTTAGTCTAACCTGGC